AAGGGCTAAAGAGTTCCTATGCACTTATATTCTTCTGTAAGCAATCATAACTATTTCCAATATGCTCAGTACAAACCATCTGTGTGTTTATTTTAAAAATTTAACTGTAATACTAGATATGCTGTGGTTTCTGCCTCTACGAGACACAACTGACTAGCCTAACATGGGCATAGTCCCCACAGAAAATTCACATACAAACTGGACAAGGCCATAACTTAAAATAGCCTAGCTCAAAAATTTGAGTTAAAATTGAGTTAGAAACTTGTGTTACAAACTTGAGTAGACGCTGTGAGTAGAGACAAGTCTAACCAACTGAAGCTCTGGGCAAGCCAAAGTTCTGAGGGAGTCAAAGTTAAGAGTCAGTTTCCAGAGGATAATAGAACAGGAAAAAGTCACTCTGGAAAAATTCGGTTTGTCACATCTTCTAAGATACCCTTTAATCCTAACACAGAGCTATTAAAATACACTTAAGGCATTGTATAATGTATACATGGACTTCCCACTTTGCCTTTGGAAATACACACCAATCTTACTCATACTTTACAAATCAGGAAATCCTTCTTCTCTCAATTAGGTCTTTACTTCTTGTTTTCTTTCAAATACATAAATCAAGGACAGGCATAGTGGCTCATGCTTGTAATCCCAGCACTTTTGGGAGGTTGAGGTGGGAAGACTGCTTGAGCCCAGGAGTTTAAGATCAGCCTGGGCAACATAGCAATACCTCACCTCCACACACATATGCACACACACAGACAAACACAAAATATTAGCATGTTGGCACGCTCCTGTAGCACCAGCTACTCAGGAGGCTGAGGCAGGAGGATTGCTTGAGCCCAGGAAGTTGAGGCTGCAGTGAGCTGTGATCATGTCACAGCACTCCAGCCTGGGAGGCCTAGTAACACCCTGACTCCAAAAATAAAATAATGCATAAATTGGTACTAGAGATGAATGGTACGGAGAATAGTGAAGCCTGGGAAAAGGGCTAATGTAGGTTGAGCATCCCTATCCAAAATGCTTGGGGCCAGAAGTACTTAAGATTTCAGATTACTTTTGGATTGTCGAATATTTGCACATGTAGACATAATGAGATGTCTTGGAGGTGGGATCCAAGTCTAAATACAAAAATCATTTACATATTCCTCAAATATCTCACTCACTTATACACCTTAGACATGTAGCCTAAAGGTAAATTTATATAATATATTTAGTAATTTTGCGCATGAAACAAAGTTGTGTGCATTGAACCATCGGAAAGATGTCAGGTGTGGAATTTTCTACTTGTAGAGTCATGCCAGCACTCAAATGGTTTTGAATTTTGAAGACTTTCGGATTTGGGATTTTCAGATGAGGGGATGCCCAACCTGTAGATGCTTTAAGTTTTGCAAACTTAATTGTATATCATTATGCAAAAACTGTACAACTGAGCCCATTGAAGGCCATTGAAGCCCATTTTTATCCACTGACTTTTTCTTGTAGTTTACTGAGATTATACCAACGTTCCACTCACCTATGACTTCCCTAGAATGTTCAGCTTTGGAGCAAGTACTTGGCAGCCAAGTTTGTCTTTGATGCCTTTCCTGTGATGGGCAACACCCCAGTTGCCTTGTGCCATCATGCTACACCTTCACCCTTGTCCCATCCTTAAACCACTGCTCTCAGATTTTCCTGATATTCTTCCCTCTTAAAAAAATGTAGCTGGGCCCAGCCAGGTTACACACTTAGGTATCTAATAAAAATGAATTCCTTCAAGGATTAGTTGTATTCAAGGTATCAAGTGTAAGTGCCAGATAGCACCTAGTCCTGAAATGCCCTAACATAAAGGGACAACTGAGTAGGAATTGCAGGCAGCATTTGGGACCTACACAGTTTTTAGCTCACAACACATGAGGCCAACATGCAAGCTATGCCTACATTATTTGCTCTTCAGTACTGAAAAGGACAAATAGGATATTTAGTTGAAACGCACTATTTCTCAATCACCAGTAAGAAATGTGTATGTAACATTTTTCTTTAAGTCAGAACATTTATTAAAGCTATGGGATATAACTGCAGTGTCATTAGACTTCTAATGATTTTACAGAGGGCGTTCCATGAATATGAAACGTTTAAGTTATACTCTGTCACAGACATCACCATGGTACAAAAGTCCGAAGGCAGCTGAACACAATGGCAAAAAACATAGACAGTGGACTCAGCCTCGGTTCAAACTGCTGCTACTCACATGCTGTATGGGCCATGGCAAGAGGCTAACCAATCTAAACCTCAGGTTCCTCAACCATAAAATGGGGATAATGAGAGAATTATGAGGATTAAATGAGAAAAAGCATGAAAGCCCTTGCCTAGCACAGATAAATACATAAGAATTCAATACATGCAAGCGAGCACTATTAGTCATTAGGTTTTCTACTCAATATGTCTTTGATGTTTACTATTAGTAGTGGCTACAACTTTTTAAAAAATTAAAGAACTAATATAGCAACAATGCTACCTTATTACATTCTGGTTATTACACGCAAAATGAAAATGACTTGTTTTTATGATTACAAAAACCACATACTGGCATTAAAATTACAAAGAAAAATATAAAAGAAAAAGAAAAAAATCACACAAATTTTCACACCCAGAGATTTTCATTATTATTACTGGAACCTTTTTCCAAAATCAAAATTAACCTGTTATCTGTGTATCTTCTGCTTTTTGACATGTAATCACTGAGCTCTTGTTTCCTGACTTCTATTCGTGAACTAGCCATAAAAAAGGACGGTAGCTCTCTCTTGTTGGAGAAGAGGTGGTGGGGTAGCTGCTAGCCTTACCTTCCTCGGGTCCATGTTCCAGTTTTACCACTTACTAGACATATGTTCTTGGGTAAGTCACGTTGGCTGAGGTTTTCATAAGAATCAAAGTGGTTCATACATAAAGCACATACAACAGTGTAATAAGTGGCACAAAAGAGTTAATTAGCTATTATTATAGACCGTCACACAAAGGTACCTATAATATATGCTATATAAATAAATAATATCAATAAAAAGCAGCTCACAGGCCCAGATACATATAATGTTATCCCATTTGCACAAAAATAAAGTATATAACATAAGCATAATATATTTTAAAAGTTATACATAAAACTGCTAACATAATCTCAGGAAAGGATCCTCTCTGGCTCCATAATGTTTTCATTTTTTACAAGTTTTTAATGTATTGTATTAAGAAATCAATTTTTAAAGTTCAATTTAAAATGTGTTTTTGGGCTGGGTGCGGTGGCTCACACCTCTAATCCCAGCACTTTGGGAGGCTGAGGTGAGAGGATCGCCTAAGCCCATGGGCTTGAGACCAGCCTGGGCAACTTGGCGAGAGCTCGTCTCTACAGTAAATCAAAAAATTAGCCGGGTGTGGTGGTGCATGTCTGTGGTTCCAGCTACTTGGAAGGCTAAGGCAGAAGGATCGTCTGAGCCCAGGAGGACAAGGCTGTGGTCTAGCCTGGAAGATAGAATGAGACTCCAACTGAAAAATAATAACAACAAATAACAAAATGTGTTTTTGGGAATGAAGAAAATTAAAAAAGAAAAAATAGAGAAAACAATGAAAATCTTGATTTTCAGAAAGGTGACTGTATGCAGTTTGTTTAATTAGGCTGTCGCGCTGGTAAAAGAGAGTTTAAAGCTTACAAAATACATCAATACTAGCAGATGTGTATTACAGTAAATCTGAAGTTGTATATTCCTCTTTCTAAAGAGACATATAGTTCATGTGATTTTTAAAAAAATGATGCAAAAGGAAAAATAAAATATTTCATTACCATCAAAAGTGTGATACATACACACTTTTTTGGTTGTTCAGTGTAAGACTGGTATAGAAAGGTGGATGAAACATAAACTACTAAATAATGATAAACCATGACAGACTTACCCTATGTTTTCCTGGGACTAGGATGCCATCTCAAGTTTGAAGCACCTTTAATGCCCCAATTGTGTATCTTCTGTCTGGTTTGTAGAGAAAGAATCTCTATAAAATTTTAAATTCTACAACAAAGTGTCTACTTTTGTTTAACATTGTCTGACCTCCTTTCTCTCTGGGGATGAATCCAGTGCTGGTTGGTAAGTTACTCACCCTATCCAAGTCTCAATCTCAGCTATAAAATAGAGGAAATAAGCTGGGCATGGTGACATGCACCTGTAGTCCCAGCTACTTGGGAGGTTGAGGCAAAGGAATCCCTGCAGCCCAGGAGTTCGAGGCTGGGGTGAGCTCTGGTTGTGACTGCACTCCAGCCTGGGTAACAGAGCAAGACCTCATCTCTAAAAAAAAATAAAATAAAGTAAAAACATAAAACAGGGGAAATTATCTGTGAGGACAGGTGAGAGCATACAGTATTCATGCATATCATGAGAACAGCAGGACTTGAACTTGTTTGCTCTGGCCATCATCATCCATTTACATGACAAGTCTAGAGGGAATAATAAGTCTGTTTATTAAAATTATTTACATCTGAGAAACATCCAGGTGAGTTTGAGTTGAATTCTAAAAGATGACCAGGCATGGTGGTTCACGCCTGTAATCCCAGAACTTTGGGAGACTGAGGAGGGAGGAATGCTTGAGGCCAGGAGTTCTGAGACTCTCCTGGGCAATATAGCAAGACTCTGTCGCTACAGAAAAAGAATTATCTAGGTGTGGTGGTATGCGCCTGTTGTTCCAGTTACTCAGGAGGCTGAAGTGGGAGGATGGCTTGAGACCAGGAGTTTGAGCCTGCAGTGAGCTATGATTGTGCCGCTGTACTCTAGACTGTAGGACAGAGTGAGACACTGTCTCAAAAAAAAAACAAAAAAAAACCACACACACACACACACACAAAATTCAACTGTATCTTAGCTTTCATACAATGCATTTCTGTCTAATACATCTCTCGCAGACATCACCAGTTACATACAATATCCCTATGTTGATGACAGACTTCCATCTATTATGATGTCATCCAGCACTTTATGGTAAGATTTCTTGTGATTTTTTTTCTGGCCACAGTCTGAAGGGTGACTGCTGTGGAGTAAAACCTACCACACTATCAAAATATGTAACTGAAGGATTACACTATGACCACCTCTGATTTTATTTCTGTGTTGCGGCCTTGAGTAGCGATGAATAAATATTCTACATTATGTCGTAAGACTTCTGGTCCAAGAAGTAATATATTCTGCAACCTCATCGACAGAATTGCTAAAAGACCCTCCTTGCAGTTTTTGAGTGGGTGGGGATACCACTGTTATGAACCCAGGATTTACAGAACGCTGGCAAAAATTCTGAGGTATGTCGACCTGGATGGGTTCGACGTCTTACTCACAGATTATATTGCATTTGTGGAAAAATCAGGATACCGTTTGAGACTAAGTTTTAAACTTGAATTCACGGAGATATGTGTGAATACAATTCTGTACTGGATTTTTGCCAGAAAAGGTAATCCTGACTTCGTGGAACTGCTTCTCAAGAAGACAAAAGACTATGTTCAAGATAGAAGTTGTAACCTGGCATTAATCTGGAGGTAATAAGCTCATGCGTTTTCACCATAGATGGATAATTTATCTGTAAAAAGTTATAGCACTTTTTCCTAAAATTAATAGGTAGAGTGGTTATATATAGATAAGGCATTCTGTCTATGTGTTCGCCTCTTCATTCTGTGCTGTTTCTACCTATATGTATATTATTATGTTCCAATAAGTTGTTAGTGGTTGTGCTCTATACAGCTTGCAGGTTAGTGTTCAAGGTAACACAGTGTTAGAGACCTAGGTTCCTCTAACTAAACAAAGACATTGTTTGTGTCATACTGGGGTCTCTTCTCTGAGAAGCCTGAGCTTGTGCATATATAATATATATGAAGTTGACTTTCAAAATACAATTGAGTATATACACATCCTCACTTAGTGACACTTATTTGACTCAGTAATCCCCTACTTGTGTGTTAAACATTGATAAATTTGACCCCAAATTTTCCAGAATTGAGCATGATGAAAGTCAAGTACCTGATGCCATCTATTAGAGCCACATTTTTACAGTCTGAACACGTTGATCTACCTGATAAGCACTCTTCAGGATCTTACAAAAATCAAACCTCCAATGTGACCTCTCTGCCATCTGTGATGTAGATTCTAAAGTTGTCTAGCTTGCACTAACTCCAGCTTATTCTTTGGTTTTAAGTATTAGTTTGACCGGAACATATATGCATTTGTTCATTCATTCAACGAAGTGCTTAGTGATCACCTTACCGTGAAAGATTTACACTAGGCACAATAATAGGAACATGCAAGCAGTGAAAACCAAACAGACAAGATGAGTTAAACTGTTTCCTGAGGGGAACCATTCCTTTGCTGGTGGGGCCCTTCTTTTTTCTAGTTATTCACTTTTCCTCAAATATCTCACTCAGTCCCGTGACTTTAAATACTATGTACATCCTGGTGACTCCAAATCTTTATCTCCATCCCTGACCTCCCATCTGACTCCGACTCCTTCTATATTTAGCTGTGTGCTTGACATTGCCACTCGGCATCTCAAAATGAATAGGAACTAAACAGAATATTGATCTAACTCACACCACTCCCTGCCAACCTGTTCCTCCCCCCAAATTCCCACCTGATTAACAGACTGTTGCTCCAGGCAGCGAAATCTAGGATTTATTCTTGATTCTTCCCTTTTCTTCCACACATCAACAAGTCCTTTTAAGTTCACCTCTAAAGTTATCCCAGTTTGCTCTGTCTTTCCGTGTCCTCTCCTGCATTTCTAACCTGGGTGAACTACCATCCCCTCTCGCCTAGACACCTGCAATAGACCGTTTCAGTCTCCCAGCTTCCATCCCTCTTTCTCCACCCCTGTAACCTATTCTTGACTCAGAAGCCTGACTGATCTTTTAAAAACATAAAATAGCTCTCTTACACACAATTAAAGTCCTCCAAAGCTTTTCCACTATACGTGTATAAATTCAAACAATACCTGGCAGTAGTGGGAAACTGCCAGGGCAGTGGGGGGGCACACCTCAGTAAGGGTACCTGATCTCAAACCAGGTGATGTGGGAACCAAAGTGATGCCCAAACTTTACCTGCACAATGGCCATTTGTATACCTAAACCTGAACTGCCCCATACAACATAAAAAAATTCAAGCAATACCCTCTTTTTAAAAACAGTACATGGACAAGGCCTTAGTATTCCTCCAAACCCAGTCTCAGGTCACTCCACCCTCTTGAACACAGTATTCTAGCCATGTAGACCTTGTTTCTTGAGTACTTTCAAGTCCGCTCCTGCCATAAGGCCTCTTAATTGCTCTGCCTGAAAAAAATCTCTTCCCTTGGCTCTTCCTATGGCTAAATCCTCCTTCTCAGTCGGGTCACAGTAGAAATATGACCTCCTTACAGAAGCCTTTCCTCATCACTAGAACATGAATCAGAAGCCAGCCATGATCAGAGCTATGTTCACTGTCTGCACAGCCTTGATCTCTGATCTGGTTATTTGCTGTCCATGTTTTCAATGAATCTCTGTTCATCGTTTGTCATCACTAAGAATAAGCTCTGAAAGTGCAGAGTAGGAACCTTGGCTACTCCTGTTATCACTGGGTCATCAGTACCTAGAATATGCCAGAATATGCCAGATGTTCATCAAAATTTTGTTGAGTGAAGAAGTGATTTTTTGTTCAGCTTTATTCAATCATTCTTCCTCATAGTGCACTGAAATCTGCCTCATTTCTACAGCTCTGCCTTTGTAGATATGAAGAACACATTCAGCTTATTCTCCCGTCTATAAGAAAACTCTCAAATATCTGAACACATCTAGTATGTTTACATAATGGATACCTGAGGTTTCTTATGCTCTGTTGCTCTTTATTTCCACAATAGCATTTTTTGTTGGTCACCCTTCCTCATTTACACTCCAGTTTGGTGATCTCCCTGTTTTCTCTCCCTGCAGGAAAGAAGTTAGAATTAATAGGGGAAAGAAACTTAAGTTTGTTTGTTATTACAACAATCCTGCAACAAACATCTAAATGCCACTGTGTGACAGACTGTAGTCCAAGGGAGATGATGTTATTCAGTTAAAATAACAATAATTTATTAAGCATTTTCTAAGTGCCAGGCACTGCTGAGAAACAAAACAGACATATTTTCTGATTTTCGTAAGCTCATATACAAGTGAGGCATAAATGTAAAAACAATTATTTCACTCGAAGTATAAAACAGAAGCACAAACAAGTAGAAACAGCATCAGAGGAAGGATGCTGTTGACACCACTGGGGAAAACTATGTATCTGAGAAGACTCTCTTGAAGAGGTAAAGTCTTAAATTGATGTTTAAAAGATGAGAATGGTCCCTTTCTTTCCTTTGAAGAAATGGCATCATGGTAGGAGGGTGACAAACACCAAGAGACACACAAACAACATGTTGAATCCAGTGACTACAGGCAGTTTAGTGATAGCTAAGGGTGAGATGGAAATTATGTACGGGGAGAGATGAAGTCTGGATATGAAACCTTGAAGGACTTTGTAGGCCACACTGAGGAATATGAAATTTACAGCATGGGTGATGCCTGTCCAGTGAAGGTCAAACTTGGAGGAATAAAAAGATTCTTCAGCAAGCCAGGCACAGTGACTCACACCTGTCATCACAGCACTTTGGGAGGCTGAGGCGAGAGGATTGCCTGAGTCCCGGGATTTGAGACCAGTCTGGGCCACTTGGCGAGACCTCATCTCTACAATAAATCATAAAATTAGCCAGGCATGGTGGTGCCCACCTGTAATTCCAGCTATTTGGAAGGCTGAGGCAGAAGGATTACCTGAGCCCAGCAGGTTGAGGCCGCGCTGGCCATGAGTGTGCCACTGCACTCTAGCCTGGGTGACAGAATGAGACATTTTCAGATAGAATAACAGACATAGTGAGTGATAAGAAGTGGAGAATCAAAGAGAAGAAAGGGGTCATCTTCAGATTTCCAAATGTTGAGATGGGTTGAAGGTTCTATTAGTTTCCCATTGCAACAAATTGCCACAAACGCAGTGTCTTAAAACAATAATACAAGTTTATCACTTTATAGTTATAGAAGTCAGAAATACAAAATGAATCTTATATGGTTAAAATCAAGGAGTTAGCAGGCCTGGTCCCCTGTGGAGGTACTAGGGGAGAATCTGCTTTTTTGCCTTTGCTAACTTCTGGAGCCCACCTGCATTTCTTGGCTCATGGCCTCTCCATCTTCAAAGCCAGCACTAGAGTGTCATCATATCTCCGTCAAGGACTCTGCTTTCATCATTCTCTGATACTTCTTATAAGGACTCTTGCAATTATACCGGCCAGCCTGTATAATCTTCCCATCTCAAGATCCTTATCTTAATCACATCTGCAAAATCTCTTTTGCCAAACTAAAGGGCCATTCTTCAACCTACCATGATGCTCATGCCACAAAACCTATCAGGATAAGACACTACAAGGGAACTGTTGAGTCAGTTTTGGACATAAGAGTTTGCATTGCCTAGGGGTATCCAGGTAGAGAGGTGCTCTGGATGTCGAGCTAGATGAGGAGGACCCCAAAATACTTGGAATTTATTTATGAACAATTGTGCATTCTTGCACATTTAAACTTGTCAACTTCAAAGTAAACTCTGATGCAACACACCTATCGAGATGTCTTTTTCACTGTTTAGAATAATTTTTGAACTTGTCGGTTTCGACGCCATTTAGTGTGTCTGTCATTTTTTGTTCCACTTCTTCTGCATTGGCAAGATGTTTCTCTTGGAGACCTTTTTTTAATCAGGAAAAGAGCAACAGAAAAGGCACTTGGGGCAAGAGAGGGCGGATGGGGAGGGTGGGGCCTAGGAGTCATGCCATTCCGTAGCACAGCTACTGAACACTCAGCAGGTGCATTCACGAATCCCCCATCATGAACCGGGCAGACACGTTTAAAGAGCGCAGAGAGAGAAATACACGGAAGCCAAACGCAGCCTCTTTCAGCAGTGCTAGCTGGAACACTGATGCCAGTGGGTTCCTAGAACACTCACCTTGCGGGGGAAGCCTTCACCGTAGGAGGAAAGCCCTCCAGAAAATAATTCGGCGTTTCTTTGGGTTCCTCCTCATATAGTGCCAACACTGGTGTCTTCCTTATACCTCACAGCTAATCTGCTAGGCTATCTGTTGGTTCTACCTGCAAACACTATGCAGAATCTTGCCAGCTCAACTGCAATCACCCCGTTCCAAGCTAAAAGGTTTCCTTCCTTCTATCTTATAGCAAAGGCCAGGTAACACTACTCTTCTACGCAAAACCTCCAAAGGCGCGTCCATTCCATTCAGAGCGAAAGGTGAGGTTCCTGCGGTGACCCTAGGCTCTCCATGCTGTGACGTCTCATCCCTCCCGTCTTCTCAGCCCATCTGGCTCCCTGGTCTTCCCTCATCACTCCGGGCTCCCTCTCCTGTTGGGAATAATCAGGCAAACGAAATTGGTCAAAAGGCCACGTATACTTGCCTAGATGTTAAGGGCAGAGAAAGAGGTGCCCGTAAAAGACGGTTGAGGAGGAAGAGCCAAGGAGACAGATTGGTAACTTCAAGGGATGGGTCTGGCTGAGAAAAACAGTTTCAAGAAAGTCAACTGTGTTCAATATCACAGAATTAAAATGATTATGGAGAGGCATCTACCAAATTTTTCAGCTAGAAACCAGAGGAGAATAAGTAGGAAAAAGTTTAGAAATAATTATAGCTACAAAACTGAATCATTCTCTGCATATCTGTATGGAAATATTATGCCCAGTTTCATAAGCATATATGACAGGTTTACAGATACAGAGGGTTCAGTTCATTAACCTCACATTTAAAAACCAATTCTTGCTTTGCTTGCTTCACTCCGTCCATATAAGTACTTTATAATTAACTGTCAGTACAGATTAAGCAAATTTTGGTTTACAGTAACATACTCTTTAAACATGAGAATTAATCATATGCCATTTGGGTGCAGATTAGACTTTTGAACCTCATTTTAAACCTATTTGAGTTTTAGTCATATTTTTGACATTTTTCTTGTATTCATTCAAAATCTTCTAAAGGTAACGTCACTCTTAATATCTTAGAATCAACTAATTATCTTAAATCTTAATAATGACCACTTATGGCATATTTTGTCCCCAAAGTCTCCTGCATGCCCATACTTATTTGGCTCTTAAGTCAAATATCTTCTTAAGAACCAGCAAGATGAATAAATTAAATTTCCTTTGAAAGTTTAAATGATTGCACATCAACAAAAATCCTGCTAGGCTTAAAAGCTGAAGAATATATTTTAAGATATATATGAATATATGTGTTATATATGCGTGTGTTAAATATATCATATGATAGTAAAACATTTTTGGTCAACAAATATTTGAGTGCCTACTATGGACTCAGCATTGTTCTGGGCACTTGGGGATGTAGTAGGGAGTAAAGATAAAAATTACTGCCCTTTAGGAGCTTATATTTTTAAAAATCACCTTGATCAACCACTTATTTTGAAGATGAGAAAATGAAAGTTTAGAGATGTTAAGTAAGTTTTCCAAAATGTTAAGAGTCAATGGAGGGACATACTAAGAGCCATGAGAAGAAAGAGAATGATAAAGGTCATCAAAGAAGACTTCACAAAAGAGTTTATTATATAAGGACTTATATAATGGGCTAGACTTGTCCCAGAGTTGGAAAAAAGGAGAATATACACAATGCAAAGAAATGTGAAAGAGTTGGATACAGTGTATACCAATGACGGGTAATAAGAGGAAGTAGTTTAGGAGTTCTGCATGCTGGAAGTGTAGTGAAAAGGATGAGATGTCCAGGACGTTATTGGTCTGGAGATGATTCTCTATCTATCGATCGATCATCTATATCTACCTACCAATATATCTACTTATATCTATCTATCTGATCATCTATCATGCCAGTGGCAAAGGTTTGAGAAAAAATCACATTTAGATTTCTGTAATTCTGCTTTTTACTACGTCACATTCTCTCTCTTTTTTTTTTAATTAAAAAATCCTGGCATTTCAAACCTTGGCTAAACTTTGGAGATAAACTAGTTGGTCTCGTGATTTTCAGCTATACTTCTTGGAGTTCCTAAAAAGAGACCCAGGAGGGGGAGGGCCCTAGAATCCTCAAATCCACTTCAAACAGAGATACTCTTGTTTCTTTAGCCTTATAGTTTCTTAGCTTTTTATAGAATTCTTTAGCTATAAACAATTTGAAACCAGCTCATTTAATGCAAAACATTTTGTAAAAGAAAATAGGACTTATTGAGAGGATAGAAAAGCTCCCAGAGTGGGAGGGGACCTGAGGGGGTTGCCCCAGAACATTTATTTTATATAGCTAGTTCAGGTATAACAAGCCTCCAATGTTGGTTTATGCTTGTGCCTATAACATTGTTTCCAGTCTTTTTATTGGAAAACACCTAATACTTTTCCAAGTCTTATTTCCTCAATAACCTACAGGAAATGACTGTTCCAGCAGAGTCAAGTACCCCTCCTCAGTACCTCTACAGTCCCCTGGGCATGCTTCTATCAGTGTGATGATCACCTTGTCTTGTATTTATTGAATGACTTATGTTTCCCTTGCATCTTTCCCTACATCTTTCATTTCTATACATCTACTCCTCAGCACACTCTAGACAAGCAGGTGTTAAAGAAATGAGTTAATGAAGGAATGAACCAATCAGTATCTAAATACATAAGGAAACTGATGCATAGAGAGGCCGACTTACCTAAGATCACACTGCTAGTTAGGAGAGTCAAAGTGCAGAACGCAGAACACTTGTCTGCACTGTTTGTATCATTATACCTTGCTGTCCCCCATCTTAATTAAGTAGAGGAACACAATCTTGAAGTTTCCTTTTTTGCATAAGACTATTCTTGTTTTGTATAGTTGTCTAAAATCAATACTTGTATTTTGTATGTGTTCTGCAGATTGTAAGTAGTTTATTAGGCCAGTCTAGAGAATTCCAGAGGCACAGATTATTTATAAAATGTCCCTTTTCTTAATCCTAAAAACTATATTACTTGGCAAAATTAGGGCTAGCTAGTGTAAAATTGCCTACAATCATGTTTACATTTACACTACCAATCCAATAGCGAGCAGAAAGTTCTATTAAATGAAAAAATTGCAAGCACTATATAGCATCAGAAAAAAACCACAAAATTTTCATTTCTTCCATAACAAAAAAGAAATTTTTATGTTTTGCCATCATGTGGCACTGCAGGACAAGCAAAATTTCAGAAAAGTATCAAAACTTTACTGAAGAAGAAAAATAAAACTCTTCCCTGGAGGGACCTGATATGATTCTCACTACAACTTACACTTCCTACCCCCAGAACACTAAATCTAATGCTATGAAAGTGAAAAAAATAAAATCAAGGTAGTTGCATTTATTCCTTTTCTATGTAATCTTCAAACTCAATTCAAGCTCATGTTTGTTGTATAATTAAGAACAAATGGGTCACAATTATTTTCTATCAATAAAGTTAAAATTTAAAAATCTGTTCCCTCTCTACTTTAGATTTTGCAGAATCCCACCAGTTTTGTAATACTGTTTAATCAGTATGGATTTCTCAAGGAGAACTGCTACTACTAAAAGTAAACACTTTCTATACAATGTAGATATTTTCTGTTTATTTTTGTAAGTGTTAAGGGGAAGGTAAATGTTTAGTAGGAGTTTTCTTTTTTAATCCCTAGTTTTGTCTAAATTCATAGAGTGGAAAACTCCTCTTAAGACATCTATAAAGGTAAAGTTACATTTAAAACATTTAATTTTAAGATAATATTATTCTCCCATTACCGTGAAGACAAAGTCTTTGTCACATTTCTTAACTCTGTATTATGAATTTATGTTTTGTTTGATTCACAGAACTTTCACACCAGTATACTGTCCCAGCCCACTAAGTGGCATCACACCTCTCCTTTACGTAGCTCAGACGAGACAGTCTAGTATCTTAAAGATACTCATGCAGTATGGAATCTTTGAAAGAGAAGAAAATCCTACCAACATTGTCTTAACAATATTGCTCTACCCTTCAAGAGTGAGAATAATGGTTGATCATGAGTTGGTTGACATCCAGGAAGATGCCAAAACATGCTTAGAGCTATGTTCCAGAGTGCTCTCTGCCATTTCAGTCAGGGAAATAGAGGTAAGCAAAATATTGTTTTTTGGGTTTGGGTTCAAATATTAATTTGAATATTAATATTAATTTTAAGATAAAATTGTAAAGGGAAGGGTAAAGTGAACTTTTAATCTATCGATTACATTCAATGACAAATTAATTATTGAGTATATGCTAATTAGATACTTCCACCTCTATACCATGAGTCTGGTGAGCACAGAGATGGTCTATTTTACATGCTCCAGCAATTATCCCAAGCACCCAGGACAATGCTGAGCATATATTAGATATTCTTTAATAGCTGATGATTCAACAAGGGTATCTGCATAATTAACATGTGTATACCTAACCCTGAGTTGTACCCCACATATTTTCAAAAAAAGTTGATGATTGAATACATAATGAATACTTTGTGCATGCAATATAAATATATAAAGAAAAGTGTCTGATATAGCCTGTGGAGTATAGGTTCTACCGGGGAATGTATGTAATACAGCAACATCTTTTCCTTGTAGGTTAACCTACTGACATTTGACCTCTGGAATTAAATCTTTTAAAAAATACCTTTCCAAACCTTTAAAAGACATACTGTATTTTCATTTAGATAGGCTTCCAGTCATGTCTTCTTTGTGTGAAGTTTTACTCTACAAGGGTTGGAATCACCTGGGAAACTTGTGGGATTCACACTGTCTATGTCCAACCCCAAACAACTGAATCAGAATTTCTGTAGTAGGTCCTGAGCAGTGGTATGTTTTACGGTCTCCCAGATGATTTCAGTGTATGGCCAAGTTGACAATAACTACTCCAGTAGGAGAAGCTGAATAAGTATAAGTACAATCTACCTAAAAATTGTCCAGATTCATAGTTGTAAAAAAAATCTGCCTTGTGCCCTTAGACATATTATTTAAACTTCATTGTTGTGAAAATAAAATGGGAATAAAATACCTGCCTCCATTGAAAATGCTTTGGGAAATAAGCCAAAAGGTTATAACATTTGAAAACTATTTTCTGAATTTAAATAAAAAATAATCCAAATTACAAAACATGACAAAGGCAAAATGTTTCCCTTTTCTTCAGACACAGCTGAGTTTAGGAAGACGTCCAATTATTCCAAATTGGTTGGATTACATTCCTTCAACAAGATACAAAGATCCATGCGAACTATTACATCTTTGCAGAATAACCATCAGGACTCAACTGTTAATCAACAACATGCTCCCAAATGGAATATTTTCACTTCTACTTCCTGTTCGCCTGCAGAACTACTTGAATTTAGAAAGCTAATACATGTCGTTATCCTAAGTTCCTTAAGGATGCTCACCAACGTATAGTTTAGAAGTTAATAAACTATTAACTTCATGTAAGTTTTTATTGTATTGGACATTCATTTAAAAATGATATTTTCACATGACATATTAAATGCATCACTTTTAATAAATATGTGACTCTGCCCAATACCCTCTATGCAGTGGGATAAATTATATGTATTTTGATATAAAAAAGAACAATTTTGATCCAATATTACATCAAAATGAAAATTGTTACCTGTTAAATATGTATGTTCTTTGGTCACAAAGGAACTTATCTAAAAAAATGAGAATTTACTCAAAGACAATTTTTAGCTCTTTTTAAAGAAATACCTAGGTTCCTAGACTTTTCTCTCTGTAGCTATGTGGCACAGCATGTAATACAAAGATAGAATTGGAAGATAGTTCTTCATAGATCTTTCGTGTTTCTGTTTAAAGAGCAGAAGATTAATTTCCATTTCTTTCTCTTTCCTTTTTTTTTTTTTTGAGGAAACAGGATTTATTGCGGGGACAGAAAAGCTCCCACAGTGGGAAGGGACCCGAGGGGGCTGCCCAATTTCCATTTCTTATAAACTAGCTTTTCAATGATGTTTGTGTAGTAAGCAGCCTTGAAAGACAGAAACACTGTCTCCCTCTAGAGCAGAGAACAGATTTGTTTGCGGTCTAGTATAAAGGTAATGTCTTCCTCTGGGGCAGAATTTGAGCGAGTTTTCTTGAGGTTCATGATAACATACTGGAAATTCCCGAGCTCAGGGCTCCTCCTCAGCTAGGATACAAAGCCGCTGCATTTACATTCACTTGAACCACTCCACATCTTCAAGGGTGGGTGCGGGAGGCATCGACAAAAGCTAGAGCCTCATGCTGCTTGCTGCGCAATTCATGATAAAGTCCTTTGTTTCCAACCCAAGAGTCCCTTGTCTTCTGACAGCAGACATGAAACCGTGGAAGGCTAAACTGCTCGTCTGCAATTAGAATAAAAGCCTCAGACTCTGCACAGTTCTTGACAATAAGCTTCTGTCCCCACCGCATCACTGTATACTTCAGAGCCCATCTTAGCAAGTTATGGCAGACAGTGGCAGTTTCCATCGTCTACTTGCAATCTGGGAACTATTAAACTGTTGACAATTCATAGCAAAAGGGTGCTCACTCTGGTCCCAGAGTAACATAATCAACTGTGTGAATATTATCATCAGAGTTTCTAAAGAACAGAATGTAAATAGCCAAGCAGTAAAGACATGGAACAAGGTTACTAGATTACTTGCTTTTTCTTTCCCTCTACTTTAGTTTAAGAGAAGAACAAATGCATTATAGGATTAAATTACAGAAATGTGTATTTATACGCTTAATTAAAATACATGTAATTCTAACTGAGCATATTTTAAGCCTGTAATATAGAGGAAGTTCACACTATACAGAGTAAACTCACATTTGAGATAGTTATCTATTTAGGTTAAAAATACATGACAGTATATAAGCTTACCTGGTAGGGGAGATACCATGATCACAAAACTGTGTGTTAGTATAAAGAAAGCCCCAAAGCTACCTTTGGTCCAGCATTTGAAGAAACACTAGATTGCTGATTCAGATGAAGTGACTTATCTGGGAATGTACTTCATCACATCATTTTGCCATTTATTCTCTGATGTCCATCCTTCTCTTCTGAACATAGCCCATACCTATTCTAGAGTGTGAGCAGTAAACAGCATCTAAGTTCCAGGAACTTGTTCCTACTGGAATTCTGATTGCTGCCGTATTTCTCAACATGATTGATGGCATCACCACCCAGAACCAAATTTTACTCTTCCCTTCTATATTAGTTTTCCAGAATTGCCATAACAAAGAACCACAAACTAGGTACTTTGTTTCTTGTCTCACAGTTCTGGAACTCAGAAGTCCAAAATCAAGGTGTCCTAGGGAGGGCCATGCTTCCTTCGAAGTTTGCAGGACAACCCTCCCTTCTTTCTGGCTTCTGGGGGCTTGGGCTATCTTTGGGGTTCCTCGGCTTGCAGATGCATCACCCCAGTCTTCTGTCTTTCTACAGTGTCCCCCTGCATCTCCACATGGTCATCTTTTTATAAGGACAACTGTCACATTGGATTAGGGGCCCATCCTACTTCAGTATTACCTCATCTTATTGAATTACCATTTCCCAAAATGGTCATAATCTGAGGTATTGAGGGTTAGCAATTGAACATATCTTTTTTGTGGGGGGGGGGACAAAATCGATTCATAACACCTTTCCCTCACTAAAATATCAGATCAGTCACTAAATCCTAATCGTGTTTAAGTCAAAGTCTTCTCTCCCTCACCACCTACTTTACTCACTGCACTCTCTTCTCCCACACCCATCTGTTCCATTTTCATCATTTCTACATTTAAACCTCGTCAACTATACCAAAGTAGTCTTTTAAATTATTTGGTCTCCTTGACTGGTTTCAACTGCCCATCTCCAAATCATGCGTGCTATCACCCAGATGATCTTATTAAAATGCAAATCTTAGCATGTGACATCATCATTGCCACTCTCCAAACCTCCAACAATAAACACACCTTGAGACTCCACAGTGGTTTACAGGAGAAATCAACAGGAAGTAGCATCTAGCTCCATCCTTTTGACACTCTCTTGTATACACTCTATCCTCTGGCTAAACCAAACTGCTTACTGTTTCACATCTCTTACTTATACACAGCTGATTCTTCTACCTAAAATAACTTTTGGCTGGGCATGGTGGCTCATGCCTGTAATCCCATCACTTTGGGAGGCCAGGTGGGAAGACTGCTTGGGCCAAGGAATTTGAGACCAGCCTAGGCAACTTAGTGAGAACTTGTCTCTACAAAAATTAAAAACAAATTAGCCAGGTGTGGTGACCTGTGCCTTTAGTTCCAGCTACTTGGGAGGTAGAGGCAAAAGGATCACCTACGGCTAGGAATCTGAGGCTGCAGTGAGCCACGATTGCGCCACTGCACTCCAGCCTGGGTGACAGAGTGAGAACCTGACTCAAAAAAAAAAATGACCTTTCCTTCCTAAATACCTGACATATTTTATCCTTTAAAAACTCCCTTTGGCCCACAAAGATGATATACTCTTTGTTCCATTACCTTAATTCATCCCATGGCTTCTATACTTACCACACGGCTTTCCAATCCTAATGCATGTGCCTTTGCTCTTTACTACACTTGAGATCCTCAGAGTCAGACGTCCTATGCTGTACTCCTAACATCTAATATGTTGCCTGCTCCACAATAAATAGCTATTGAATAGGATTCGCTTTATGGTTTCCTATAAGGGTGACCTACTCTATAAATTTACTTAAAGGACCATATTCAGAAATGTGCTACCAAAAAGGGTAGGGTTAAAAGCTTAATTTAGGGGAAAGAGGAATAAAACATCACTGCTGGCTAAATAATTATCAGAAGAACTTTAAAATGAAAAAAATGATTTACTCACTACACAGTTATTAAACGGGCTACATTTTTAAAAAAAACAAAACTGACAATACCAAGGAACATGAGGCGCACTGGAACTCTACACATGGCGGCTGGGAACGCAGCTGCAGGTCGAGGTGCTCTGGAAACAGTTCGGCAGCTTCTTACAACGTGAAATATTCACTTCCCCCAGGATGTAGCTATTTCACTCCATTTATTCTAGATAAATGAAAATTTACTCCACAGAGACCTGTATAGAAAAACCTATAGTAGCTTTATTCATAATCACTGAAAACCTGAAACCCCAATGTCCTTCAGTGAGTGAATGAATAACGTCACATATGAACAATGGCATGCTTCTCAGCAACAAAGAGACACAACATAAATAAACTTCAAATGTATGACACAGAGTAAAAGAAGCCCGCCTCAAAAGGTTGCAAACTGTTGGGATTCCATTTGCTGGACTGGACCTTCTGGAAAAAAACAATTATAGGGAAATGAACTAGGTCGTGATTACAGGGTTTACAGTTAAGGGTTAGAGGTTAGGCACAGTGGCTCACACCTGTAATCCCAGCACTTTGGGAGGCTGAGGCAGGAGGCTGCTTGAGGTCAGGAGTTCAAGACCAGCCTGGGCAACATAGCAAGACCTTGTCTCTACAAAAATAAAAATTAAAAATTAAAAATAGAAGTTAAGGGTCAGGGAAAGATTTGACAGCACCAAGGCAGTCTTTGGGGGTGATAAAACTTTATATACTGATTTTGCTGGTGGTAACATAAATCCATAAATCTACTAAAATTTATAGAACTACACCAAATGAAGAGTTAGTTTTGCCAAATGTAAATTTAATAAATGTATCACTTCCTTAGCGTGAAGACAAGCTTTCTCCTGCATCTCTACCTACTGTACCACTGAACTTGAAAAAAGACTGTCCTATGTAGGATTTTTGGGTTTTTTTTTTGAGTGGGAGTCTCACTCTGTCGCCCAGACTGGAGTGCAGTGGCCACTCC